TGCAGCCCACATTTGTGCGTGCACGGCAGCTGATTTGAATGGGCTGCCATGCCTGCGTTTCTTGCAAGAAAATGGTTCCTACACCATTCTAAAAACGCAGTGGCCCAGAAATTGCATGATCCTTTTGCACCATGGGATTTCCTTGCGGTTGCTACACCCACAAATGTGCTAAATTTTTAGATGTGTGGAAGGTGCCATTCAGAATGAATGGCAGCCCCAAGTGTTTTCAAACAGCAGATCATTTTGACAGCAGGTGGTTGCAGGTATTGCTGCGATTACAGCACTTGCAACCACCCCACATAGATATGAACCAGGCCTTAATGAAGAACTCCTGGATAGGTAAAAAAAATCACCCAATAGTACACCCCTACACAAAATATTTAACATTAGGAAAATCCCTACCACTTAGGAGAAAAGTCTAATTGAATTATCATGACCTTATCTCTGTACTTCAAAAGATAACTGCATCAGCTCTGCAAAGGAGGGGGGGAGGGGTAACAGAAGGGATTACATACAGTCACAATATTTATGGACCCGACTGTACATCCTCTCTTTCTGCAGCAAAAGGAAACTATGGTTCCCATCAACCACAGGAAATTTTAATGAATATGGACGGGTACATTAGGCCTGTACATGTTGAATGTGTCTGAGAGCCTCGGGTCCTCCCATCACTGCATGTAGGGCTGAATTACATCACTGCTAACCAGGAGAAAGAACTACAGAAAGGATGTGCCAAAACCAGTGGCTGGGGGAATAGGAGGCATAGCAGCCACCGGTCTTACAAACAGGAAACCAAAAAGAACTAATGATTCGATTTGAAAATAAATAAATTACTTCAGAGCAACTACTGAGCGAACCAGAAGATGGGTGACATATTCAGTGAAAGTAGGAAATCAGCAACAAGGACATGTAAAGAAGTTTTTGCCCGGAGTTCTACTTTAAGGAGAGGAGAGCAGAGTCATGACCTAATCAGTGGGCAGATGCATTTCAGTAAGAATCCTGGGGGTCAGTCAAAGCCAAGTGGTACTGTTTAACTACAATAGAAAAACAAGTAAGGCCACAAACCTCTGGTTATGCTGCTGTGCCTTGTGTAAGGTGATCACAAAAACACCCTTGACATAATTAAAAATCCTTTGCAGGTAAGACATTTCTCATACACAAACTTTTTTTTTTTTTTTTTTTTTTTTTTTTTTTTTTTTTTTTTAGAGGTCTAGCTGGATTTCAGGTTTTAAAGGACAACTTTGCTTTTGGGGCCCATTTATACCATAATAGTGATTAGCAACAGAAGCATTATCATTTTGTGATGTAGCATTCAACATTCCTGTAGATGTGGAGGATACCAGCAGATGGTCAACAGCAACAGAACTTGCTTCTTACAGTGTAAAAAAAAAAAAAAAAAAAAAAGGATAGTCTACAAGAAACCTCAAAAGTTTAACACAATGGGATTCATAAAACATAACTATACTCACCTCCTGATGCTCTTTTGCCAACACCAACATTTTTGCCTAGTCCTTTCTAGCTTGGGATTTTCAGCAATTTTGATTGGCCAGGCCAAAGTTATGCAACTCCTGTGTGTGCACAGAAGAGCCCATTCTTTCTGGCATCTAGGTATGTACATTCTTCTTTTTAGTGTAGAAGAGACATAGCAGTCGGTCTGCTCACAATTCTTTATGTCATCAGTTTAGTTCCTCTTTAATCTTTTTAAAAAAGTGACTTTTAGCTCCAGTAACTCAGACTTTCGCACAGTTGTAATGTAATTGTTTTTAAAAATGTGTTTTTTTATGGGAATGTGAGATAGTTCTCATTTCCCACATGATAAAATCAGCTTATCAGTAAAGAATCAGCCATTAAACATCAGTAACATCCTGGAAGAATTCTGCTCTGCACAAAAACTCTGAGGATAAGAAGAAATTTCATCCTCTTCATTTTGGTCTTTGACAGAGAACAATAAAATGCCTCATCTACTTCAATCACAGTATAGAAAGCACACATTCCGTGATCTAGGTAGAGAAAGCATACATTTATTACACACTTTGTACTAACCTCTCTTCAAATATAACAGCAGACAACGGACAGATCATCCTACATCACAATCGAAGAATGTGCTAGGCGTATGATCCAGAAAATATTTCCAAAGGCTACTAAGTTGGCCATGGATAGGACACATTTGTTGTTTTCAATGCATATGGCAATAATCGAGATATTACAGGAGCAAAGTGATAGCTAACAGAAAAGCAGGAAGTATTGGTCAAATGATGTTTCCACCTGCTGAAACTGTATTCTTTGTAGAGTGCATTTCTACAAATGTCATCATACTAACAATTGTTTAGAATTAAGGCCTATAGCAAGCAAAGTGCAAAAGTATGGAAACAGCAATGAATTATTTTTTAAAACTGTATGAGTAGCATGAAGTGGGTTGCAAAACAAATTACTATTTATATTCAATCACAACCATTGTGACAATGCAAAGAATCGAACCTTTGCTCAGTGCAATAAAAATATTAGCAGAAACTTGTATGGCCAATCTTGTGCTGCTGTCATGCCTCCCTCTGGAATTAAAAAGATTAGTGCAAAAAGATATTACAAAAGGGTCTTGTGTGCAGTCTGAAAAGGCTGCACCATGGGCCTAATTTATGTACCGGTCCATATATTGTACGTGAATTTGGAGCATGCTGCACCACTTTAGGAACGCATGTGAGACACTTTTACAAACTCTGTTTGCACCAGGGTCTCTTTCTGTACCCCCAAAGTGAGTTGGTCTTAATTAGCTTGACTTTTATAAAATACTTACTGCCTGTATTTTGTTTTGAATTTGGTGCAGTCATTGCACCACAACAAAAAAAGTAGCGCATTTGAGAACTACCTGAACTTGGCGTGAGTCAATGTCAGAATGTCAGTGTTGCATATGCTTCATGAAATTGGAGCAACACATTAACAAAAGAGATTAACACCATTAAAGTGGCACAGCAGCTTTATTGATTTCAGTGACGTGCATTGATAAAATTCTGCTCTCTCTGTGTTTGGTTTCAAGCTTCAGCAAAAACACATAGTGCACTGCATATGGATGAAGAGTAAGGCATGTAAAATAGATCTAAATGAAACAAAACAACTGTGCTGCAAAGGCCTTAGACTGCAACTTGCATGCTATATTACTAGAATGGTTGGTGCACATTCCATTGTGCTAATTTTGCATTCACAATATCTGTTTATTCGTTCGTTTTTTTTTTTTTTAAGAATAACTGTACTTTCAAAACTATACTCACCATAACTTTGAGTGTACTATTTGACGCAACCTTCTTTAGCTGTTAAGTGGTCAACTATTTTTAATGGCTGTGCTCATCTTGTTCTAATCTAGGGCACCTTTTTACAATTCTCAAATTTTATACAATTTATGTACCTATCCCAGTAAATTTATATTGTGTATTACTTACTATACATGTTATGTTAGCCCTGAAGAAGTGGGAATTAGCAACCCCTGGAACACGTTGGCTATTTACCAAAAATATAAATAAATCTCTTATTTGACAGTCTTACCGATTCATTGCTGTGGAAATATACCTGTCAAGCGCCTGTGGTAGTGAGCCCTTGTAGATCGCCAACTCAGGGTTCCCCAGGGAGCAGAGTCTAAGACCCAGCCTGCTTCTTCACCAGAGCCCCTGATTGTGGGGAAGGACTTGCAGCAAGCTAGAACCAGGTTGCGGCCCCCAGGGACGCCCAGCTAAGAATGCAAAGACCGCTCACGTGAGCAGAGTACAATAGCAGGAGACAAAAAGAAATCCGATAGACAAGCAGAGGTCAGGACGGGAGGAAAAAAAACACAGTCAGTGGAGGAAGCCAGGGTCAGTACACAGGTAGTCAGATACAGGAAACAGGAGTAGCAACAAACAGGAGCTCAGAGAACCAAGAAGTAGCTCAGGCAAAGTGGGTAAGACTGAGCATGCCTTATATAGACAAGCAAACTAGGAGGCGGGCTGGGAAGTGATGGAAGGGAATAAAAGCCAGAAAACAGCAGGCGACACCCATAGGTCAGCATAAACCACACGTGAAGAGAATCAGGAAAAGCACTCTTATGACGTTTCCCCACTTGTTTAGGGCCAGGCTTAAGAGGAAACTTCTGATGAAAAAGTTCCACCAGACAGGGTGCAGAAATATCAGTAGAAGGATTCCAGTCAATTAGATACAAAAGCTTACCTCTGATGAATTTGGAATCCAAGATTTGATTGACTACATACTGATCCGTGGTACTCACTATTGGGGAAGGATGACTATGGGGACGGGAAAACTTGTTAATGTACAGTCTCAGAAGAGAAACATGGAAAACATTAGGGATTCTCAGATGTGAAGGGAGGCGAAGTTTGAAAGCAACAGGATTGACCTGGCGGAGGATGGTAAAGGGACCAATGAAATGAGGAGCAAATTTCATAGAGGGTACATGTAGACGGATATTCTTGGTAGAGAGCCAAACCTTGTCATCAGGGAGAAATTTGGGACTCACACGGCGATGACGATTTGCAGCTACTTTGTACTTGGAAGCTGCCAGAAGTAAATTCTTGGAAACCTCGGCCGAGATAGAATTGAATGATTGTTGTGTCTCTGCAGCCGCGGGAACTGCAGAAGAGATGGGAGTGTGAAATGGCACAGAAGGATGATGACCATACACAGTGAAAAAGGGAAACTCACCAGTGCTCACGCTGGCATGGTTATTAAGGGCAAACTCTGCCCAAGGTAAAAGGTCTACCCAATCATCCTGATGGGCCGAAATTAAGGCATGAATATACCATTCAACATTCTGGTTGACTCTTTCAGTTTGGTCATTAGACTGCAGATGAAAGGCTGAGAAGTCCAACTTGATTCCGTAGGATGTGGCTAGAGATGAGCGAATTATTCAAAAATTTGATTCGGCTGATTTGGCGAATTCGCGGAATAAATTCGATTCGAGTCGAATATATTCGCTGCGAATTTAACTTATAAAAAGGGTGTTTCTAGGCTTCAGAGAGCCTTTATATTAGTGCAGAACACTGTACCTTTAATTTAAATGCCCTTGGAGTCTGCTGGGGAAGAGAAATAATACTGTCAGTCAGTATGACATGCAGATGAGTGCCGTCGATCTTAGAATCACCGCACACTTCACTCATTTGGGCAGTCACGGGGCCAAAACCAGAGTGTGGAGCCACAGTGTGTGGCGTGTGAGAGGCAGCAGCAATGGGAGGCCATACAGCACCCTATGACAAAATGGAACCCACCAGAAGTGTGAGGAGACCTGAAAGTGGCACATGGCAGAGTGTGGCGATGGAGACAGCAGCAACGGGAAGCCGTACAGGGACCCATGACACACTCTGGACCTGGCAGCAGCATGAGGAGGCGGTACAGGGGCCCATGACAAATTCTGGGCCTGGCAGCAGCATGAGGAGTCGGTACGGGGGCCCATGGCAGATTACGGGCCTGGCAGCAGCAATGGGAGGCCCGTAATCTGCCAGCACCCTATGACAAAATGGAACCCACCAGCAGTGTGAGGAGACCTGAAAGTGGCACATGGCAGAGTGTGGCGATGGAGACAGCAGCAATGGGAGGCCGTACAGGGACCCATGACACACTCTGGACCTGGCAGCAGCAAGAGGAGGCGGTACAGGGGCCCATGGCAGATTACGGGCCTGGCAGCAGCAATGGGAGGCCGTACAGGGCCCATGGCACACTCTGGACCTGGCAGCAGCATGAGGAGGCCGTACAGGGGCCCATGACAGATTATGGGCCTGGCAGCAGCATGAGGAGTCGGTACGGGGGCCCATGGCAAATTACGGGCCTGGCAGCAGCAATGGGAGGCCCGTAATCTGCCAGCACCCTATGACAAAATGGAACCCACCAGCAGTGTGAGGAGACCTAAAGTGGCACATGGCAGAGTGTGGCCATGACAGCAGCAATTACAGGGACCCATGACACACTCTGGACCTGGCAGCAGCATGAGGAGGTCGGTACGGGGGCCCATGGCAAATTACGGGCCTGGCAGCAGCAATGGGAGGCCCGTAATCTGCCAGCACCCTATGACAAAATGGAACCCACCAGCAGTGTGAGGAGACCTGAAAGTGGCACATGGCAGAGTGTGGCGATGGAGACAGCAGCAATGGGAGGCCGTACAGGGACCCATGACACACTCTGGGACCTGGCAGCAGCATGAGGAGGCGGTACAGGGGCCCATGACAGATTACGGGCCTGGCAGCAGCATGAGGAGTCGGTACGGGGGCCCATGGCAGATTACGAGCCTGCCAGATGACGACGAGGCTGCCAAGTGCGATCAGCCTCATCATCATCAATTAGGGTCTCCGCCTCACTACTAGCCCCCTCGGCTGCGTGTGGGTCAGGAGACAGACCTGTCTCTAGACCGGCTACCGAGCCACTCTCCTCGCCAGTACTTCTTCGCCTGGCTGCTGAAGAGGCGGATGTCTCCCCCCGTTCCTGACCGCCCTCTGTTAGCTCTTCCTCACTGTACAGTGAGGCTGAGCCCACAGCATGCGATACTTCGCTTGGTGAGGGAACACCAAAGGACAGGGGCAGGTAGAGGACACGTGATTTCAGTGGGCTTGCTCCCGGGCCATGCCAAATAACGGTTGTGTTTGACGTACCCACCGACCGTTGGCTGTAGGTGTCAGAGGTGACCTGGGAAGAGGAAGACGACCGAGCCAACCAATCGATGACGGCAGGGTTGTCGGTGGAGACACGACCGCTGGATGACACCGGGAGCACTGGCCTCTGGCTGCGACTAGTGCTGCCTCGACCCCTTCCTCTGCTGCCACGTCTGCTCGCTCCTGAAACATTGCCTCCTCTGCCACTCCTCTGCGTGTTGTCTGACATACTCTTTAATTCAACGATTCTGTGTCCCTGAGTAACAATTCTGTGTCCCTGAGTAACAATTCTGTGTCCCTGAGTAACGATTCTGTGTCCCTGAGTAACGATTCTGTGTCCCTGTAACGATTCTGTGTCTGTCCCTGAGTAACGATTCTGTGTCTGTCCCTGAGTAACGATTCTGTGTCTGTCCCCTGAGTAACGATTCTGTGTCTGTCCCTCAGTAACGATTCTGTGTCCCTGAGTAACGATTCTGTGTCCCTGAGTAACGATTCTGTGTCCCTGAGTAACGATTCTGTGTCCCTCAGTAACGATTCTGTGTCCCTGAGTAACGATTCTGTGTCCCTGAGTAACAATTCTGTGTCCCTGAGTAACAATTCTGTGTCCCTGAGTAACAATTCTGTGTCCCTGAGTAACAATTCTGTGTCCCTGAGTAACAATTCTGTGTCTGTCCCTGAGTAACGATTCTGTGTCCCTCAGTAACGATTCTGTGTCCCTCAGTAACGATTCTGTGTCCCTCAGTAACGATTCTGTGTCCCTCAGTAACGATTCTGTGTCCCTCAGTAACAATTCTGTGTCCCTCAGTAACAATTCTGTGTCCCTCAGTAACAATTCTGTGTCCCTCAGTAACAATTCTGTGTCCCTGAGTAACAATTCTGTGTCCCTGAGTAACAATTCTGTGTCCCTGAGTAACAATTCTGTGTCCCTGAGTAACAATTCTGTGTCTGTCCCTGAGTAACAATTCTGTGTCCCCGAGTAACAATTCTGTGTCCCCGAGTAACAATTCTGTGTCCCTAAGTAACGATTCTGTGTCCCTAAGTAACGATTCTGTGGCCCTAAAGTCTCTCTGGCCCTAACTCTGTCCCTAATACAGACAGGTCTGTCTCTCTTGAATGACCGGAGGCTAATGGAGAATTGTAAGATGGCCGCAATTTATAGCTCCACCATTACACAGTGCTGGCTGGCTGCTGATTGGCTAATGCGATCACATGTCATGAATGAATGCATTATGGGTCAGCGCGCCTTGTCTGCGCGCCTTCCCAGAGATCCCCGCTCCGTCGCCACACATGTCGCCGCCATTTTTGGGAAAATTCGATTCGTGCATCCGAAGTTTGCTAATTTTCGGATTCGGCGCGAATCGAATTTTTCCTGATATTCGAAACGAATTCCACTTCGCCATGTTCGATTTCGCTCATCTCTAGATGTGGCCAAAGCCCTCCAAAAGTGAGATTTAAATTTAACACCTCTATCAGAGATGATAAGCGAGGGCATACCATGAAGACAGAAGATTTCCTTAATGAACTTGGAAGCCAAAGTGATGGCAGAAGGTAGTCCTGGAAGTGGAGTTAGGCGACACATTAGAGAACCTGTCCACAACCACCCAGATAACGGTGAAACCTGCTGAGGGGGATAGTTCAGAAATAAAGTCCATGGAGAAGCAATGCCAAGGTTTATCTGGAACAGGTAGAGGTAAAAGAAGAACTGCTGGAGCAGACGTGGAGGACTTAGACTGCACACAAATGGAGCAAGCCTGAACGTATTTTTCAACATCCTTCCTCAGTGAGGGTCCCCAGTAAGGACGCTGCAGGAAGGCACAGGTGTGTTGCACACCAGGATGTCCAGAGAGTTTAGAGTCATGTGCCCATTTGAGTATCTTGGAGCAAAGGGCTGGGACCACAAAGGTCTTTCCAGGTGGGATGCGTTTAGACTGAAGATGAGTGGTGGCCAGGATACGATTGGCAGAAATAATAGTTTCCGGTTAAAAACATGACACTCGGAGTCAGCAATGTCAAATGATCTGGACAAGGCATCTGCATGGGCATTTTTGGAACTTGGTCCGAATGTCAAAAGTTAAATCTGGCAAACAAGAGAGCCCATCCTGCTTGTCTGGGATTTAAACGCCAGGCGGATTGCAGATACCGGAGGTTCTTATGATCACTATAAATCAGTATACGATGTGGAGATCCCTCCAGATGTCGTCATTTTTTCAGTGCCAGCTTTATAGCCATCAGTTCCCGATCCCCAGTGGTGCAATTCCTTTCAGCATCCAAAAACTTCTTAGAGAAGAAGGCACAAGGACAGAGCTTACCATCATGCATTTGGAGAAGGACGGCCCCCACTCCCAAAGATGAATCATCTACCTCCAAGAAGAAAGGCTGGAAAATGTCCGAACGGATTTTAGTTTGTGGAATGCCTCGACTGCCTCAGGAGGCCAGGTTCTGGCGTTGGAACCCTTCCGGGTCAAAGAAGTGATTGGGGCCACCAGCGAGGAACAGTCAGGAATGAACTGGCGATAGAAGTTGGTGAATCCCAAGAAGCACTACATTGCTTTCAAACCAGAGGGCTGAGGATAGTTGGAGATGGCCTTCAGTTTGGCAGGCGCCATAAAGAGCCCTTTATTTGTGACTCTGTAGCCTAGAAAAGGAACCTGGGTTTGCTCGAAGAGGCACTTCTCCAACTTTGCATACAGGCTGTGGTTCCGAAGACGTAGAAGAACAGTATATACGTGCTGACAATGAGTGTTTAAATCTGTAAAAAAAGAGGAGTATGTCGGCCAGATAGACAATGACACAAACATATTAGGAGATCAGAAACAATATGTCATTAATAAAGTTCTGAAAGATGGGTGGGGCATCACACAAGTCAAAAGGGCATGACAACATATTCATAATGCCCGTCTCTGGTACTGAAAGTGGTTTTCCACTCATCACCCTCACGGATCCTAACCAGATTGTGTGCTCCCTGGAGGTCTAGCTCTGTGAAAATTCGAGCATCCCAGAGCCTGTCAACGAGTTTCGGAAATCAAAGGTAAAGGGTACTAATTCTTAACAGTGATAGCATTGAGACCTCTTATAATCAATGCAGGGCCAGAGCGCACCATCTTTTTTTCTCCACAAAGAAGAAGGCAGCCCCAGCAGGAGAATTGGACTTACGGATAAATCCATTCTGCGGATTTTTCTGGACGTACTCAGACATGGCTTAAGTCTCAGGAATGGAGAGAGGGTAGACTTTACTTCGAGGTGGAGAAATCCCTTGTTGGAGGTCAATAGCACAATTTTAGAGATGGTGAGGAGGGAAACAGTCAGCAGCTTTCTTACAAAAGACGTCTTGGAAGGCCTGATAATGCGGAGGGAGTATCAGAGAGGTGGTGACCTCAGCCATGGGTACACAGAGAGGTGAAGCACTTAAGGGAGACAAGTCTGATGGCATTGTGACCCCATGACAATACTTGGCCAGAGTTCCAGTCTACATAGGGTGAGTGTTTCTGCAATCATGGAAGTCCAAGAATGATGGGACTTGAAGACTTAGGAAGGATCAGGAAGGAGATTTCCTCATGAAGAACACCAATATGCATAGCTATGGAGTTAGTTCGAAACCGTAGAGGTCTTAAAGCCAAGGTAGAGCCAACTGAAGATACTGATAGGGGCATCATCAATGGGACAAGAGAGATGCCCAATACAGAAGCCAATGATTGCTCGATGAATGGAGACATGTGACCTAGACCCGAGAGTTTCCCAGATGGACAGAACAGGGCTTAATTATATGACGTTCAGCCCCACAGTAAAGGCATAGACCAAGTCTTAGGCGACGCAATCGCTCTTGTGGAGTGAGGCATGTTCGGCCTAACTGCATAGGCTCTTCAGATGCTGGTACAGTTACAGGGGATTTCTGGAAAACAGGAGCTAAACGAACCCACTGGGGGGCGACGTGGACCAGCCCTTTCCACATCTTGCTCCTGGAAGCGGACATCGATTTGAATGCTAAGAGCAATCAAGTCACCCAGAGAGGTGGGTATGGTTCTTCCAGCTAGTTCATTCTTCATACGGTCTGCTAGACCCTGCTAAAAGGTTGCAGAAAAGGCCTCATTATTCCATGCCAGTTCCGAAGCTAAGGGGCGAAACCGAACTGCATATTGACCAACAGTCATGCTACCTTGACAGAGCCAAAGAAGAGCTCCCGCAGCAGAAGAAGTCCTGCCGGGCACATCGAAGGTTTTACGGAAAGCCTGCTGGAAGGTTGGGAGACTGGAAATAGTAGGATCTTGACACTTCCACAGTGGCGAGGCCCAAGCCAGTGCTTCACCAGAAAGGAGGGAAATCATGTACGCCACCGTGGAATGGTCAGTAGGAAAATGGTGGGTTGCTAGGTCAAAGTGAATTGAGCACTGATTGATGAAGCCCCGACAAGCTTTGGGATCACCAGAGAAGCGAGGCGGTGGAGGCAGCTGGAGTTTTGAAGGACTGTATTTCACTGGAGGAACAGCGGGGGTTGGAGCAGCAGGAACTGGAACCGAAACAGAGGGTGAGAAAGTGGATACAACCTGCAGCTGATCTAACCGGGAGGAAAGTTCCTGCA